ACCAAACATTAGCATTATTTGAATTTTCGAAGGGATCTCGATTTTTAGAAAATCGAGTCCGTGTACCTCACTCATAATCTAGCTTCTCAAAAAGTGAAAAGAAAAACAAATAAACAGTATTTAACTATTAACAAAAAACATATTAAATTTTTCTTAATAGTATTAGTTACGATTAGAATTTATTTCTTTGACAAATGTGAGTAGCTTAGGGCACGTCCCAATGTAATTAATTGAATTAGGCATTACGTAGCGTTAATCCCTTGTCAGATAGCACTCGAATAGGCACCTTTTGTGGGATCCAACGACAGCAGTCGAGGATAAGCATAAACCAAATTGACATTAGATTTGTTTTTAATTACTGCCGAATACTCCTAAGGATGCCTTGTGTAGAAGCAAAACACGTGCTGATATATTTTTACATTTAACTAAAGATCACGGCTCAAAAATTTTGAGATTCAGGTCACATAAAAAAGACTGAATATTTTAAGATAGGGCAAGCTCAGTAATTTGTAATGATATATAACAACAACGTAAAGCAAACATTTATCTTCGCTTATCTGAGTTTTATAAAATACTACAAAATATGCCAACATTTTTAGCAGTTCTACATAATTAATAATATATTTTACTACATTCACACAACGCCATCTAGTCCCAAACTAAGCAGAGCAAATACATATATACTTTTTTTTGTAAATACATACATATTATACATGGAAACACCCAGGCCAAATCAAACATTAAATGTTGATGCACACAAATGTTTGACTTGAGCGGGAATCGAACCCGCGACCTTTGGTATAGCAGTCTGTCACCCAAACCACTATGCCATCCGGTCAATTTAACATTAAGTTTTTACTAAAGTTAAAAATTAATTTGATCCACAATAAGGTTATTGCTTTCCTCTGAAATGCTTGCACAGTTCTATGAAAGAATTATGGCTTCAATAAATAAGGTAATTGGATTTTTCAGACAAACTTTTAAACTTATCTATTTTTAAAGAACAAACGATAAAAGCCATAGTCGAGTGCCAGAGTCGTAGTTTTCTTAAAGAAAGAAAGAAAGATAATTTTCTGACTGTAAGCAAATTTTTACGAACTTATAAATGTGAAAGTTTGTATTTAGAATTGCTTGAATTGAATTAGCTAAAACTTTTAATTAATTCATGTTATAAGTTTAAAGAATACGAGTACAACTACAGCAAAGTACATATATCCAGTTAATATGTTAATCTGTCATGATACAGAAACTCTGTACAATTACAGTTTCAGTTCTACTTGTCGATCTCCAGACTACCTTAATTATCCAAAATTCGTAATATTAGCCATTGTACGATAAATGCGGGTCCCATGTTTCCAAACACCAACAAAAACATATATTTCTTGCAGTTTTTACAATACACCAAATCTGTACACATTACAATCAAAGAGCAAATAAAATTGCATTTTGAGTTGTACTACAATTAATTATTTAAAATTTCCAGTCAATGCTTTTGCTCTGGGTAACTTAAATAATTTCTGCCGTAGCTCAGATAATAATACTTAACACAAGTATTTTCCATCAGAAACTTTTGGCAACACGCAACTAATACAATCCGACACAAGTTAGAATTAGTTCATTTCACGAACCGTTGTACTGGAAAATTGATTTCTCCAATCGAAATCTTACGCGTTGTAAAGATATTGTGCCTTTAAACTTTTTATTTTTCATGTAAATAAAATTAATTGGGAATTGGGCGGAGGTACTAGCAACATTAGTAGTATTAGTACGAGTAGTAACTATTTTGCAACCGTGCGAAGCCGGGGCGAATCGCTAGTATAACATAAAAAAAACGCTATAGACAATCCACTTTTTTTTTTTCCGTACGGAAATCCCCTCGGATACTACCTGTCGGTGGCATGTCGGACTCGAACCGACCAAAACCGCACGCCGTCTCGGGTACTAATAGCCGGGGAACCAGGCATACCCTAGAAAGGAAGTCCCTGGTGCAATAGATAATCCACTAACAAATTTTCTGATCAGTTTTTGAACTTTTTCTTTTCATGTCAGTATCCTGATTTTTTAAATTCTGTTAGTTAAAAATGACTGTAACTTTACGGAAAAGGGTAGAATATGTAATTGAATAAAAAAAGTAATTATTTTTCATAAAATAATTTATTCATATTATTATCAATTTTTAAAACAAACTAAACGTTAAAAATAAACTCATTTAAGTTTAATATTTTCATATATTATTTTGGTTGCCTATTACAATTTGTTCTTGTTGTTTACAGAGGTTGACAGTTTAATTTGTTCATTTTCTCAAGGAAAAAAAACAGAAACAACCTCAATATTATAATCATACACTAACTTATTATTATTACAGCTAACGCATCGCCTAAATTGCTATAAGAAAAAGGTATTTCTATTTAAATATAATTTTTTTTTTATTGATACTTAGAGTGACCTAGATTTTTTTTCATAAAACTATGAATACGTTGACACATGGAAGCCACTGAACACCATACGATTTCTATACAGTTTAGATTAGGGGATAGCGCTGGCCATGGAATAACCTTAACATTCGGATTTTGACGAAACCTTTCACTAATAATACCAGCACCGTGTATCGCACAGTTATCTTGAAATAAATAAGTTCACTTCACTTAATAAGTTAAGTTAAGTTCACTAAATTCCCCCACGGGACAAACAGGTAGCACACGGGACAGTAGGTAGCTTTATATCGTTCAAAACCTCGATGTAATGGTTAGTTGGTTTAGAGCCATTTCTTTCACATTGACCCACAATTAAGCTTCGTGGAGACTGGAGTAGGCCAAAATCTCCTTTCTAAGGAGAGGCCTATGTTGAGCAGTAGACTTTTATAGGCTGTTGATGATGATGATGACGAGACTAGTCAACAAGTGGCGACTGGTTAATAATCTGTTCACTAAAGGTCTTACAGCTTTTGTCTAAAAACTCATAATTCTTATAAGACATTTTGACCCAATACTTAAGAGATTATAAAATAAAATCATATCACACAATCCATCAAAATAACTTACGCTTAAGCGGATTTCATATAATATATAATATTTCAGATATTAAGCCCACGTAAAGCTATAACGTTAGTCCTGGCTTCAATACTGATATTTGCTTGCATTTTGAATACAGATATTCAATATAAACATCAGTAGCAATTAATAACACAAATGCTCGTAACTAAGTTTACTAATCGAGGTCAAAAGTTGACCGTGTTTTTGAAATAATAAAACAGTTTGTTTCAAATCTAGCCTCAACTTTTAGTGACTACTAGTTTAAAATATTGAATCAAAGATTTATATTCTTTGACGTTCGTTAAAATACTGCACCCATAACCACATTCCATGAATTCTCAAAAAGTTACTGTAAGGTTGCATGAGTTTTGAAACGGCGGTATTTGCATTAGAGCGTCCACAGCAGCGAAAGACGGACAGTTATTGATGGCGTTGAAATTAGTTACTAAAATCATACGCACGTAGCGTGTATATTTGTGTGTAATATACGTTAAAAGAAGAAGGTTATAAGTCCAACTAGTAATGCTATAACTTTGTAAAAGTGCTACTGGACTTATGACCGCCACCGTACCTCGTTAGGAGCTGGCTTTAATTACGGCGATACCTTTCCCCGGTTGGTGGCAGAAAGTACATTTGCTTCAACATTGAGGCCAAGGTTGACTAAAAATGTTGCCAAAGAAACCCTAAATCAATTCTGCTTGAAATAGGCTATTTCAGAAAAGTATCTACTATTCTAAGAGGATTGTAGTGTGCAGAGTCGCTGAAAAAGTTTTGATTAAGCTCGTAAAAAATATGTTTTGATAAAAGAATTCCAAAAAACATTTTAAGTGTTTTCTTTATTTCTTAACATGGTATGTAATTTAAGTAAGGACGGCAGCGCACTTGTGAATAATTGCAGGTGTCTATGGGTGGCGGTACTCACTTACCATCAGGTGACCTGTCTGCTTGTTTGCCCCCTATACCATAAAAGATCTTGCTTTCATCACGTAACAACTACGTAAAAAAAAAAATCTCAATTTGAACACAGATGATTTTAGACAGTTAAAAAATTTATAGTTAAAAAACAAAAAAAAAGGCTGGCAACGCGTTGGACTGGACTCCTGAGTTGTAGGCGTTCATGGCTTGCGGTGGTCACTTTCCATCAGGTGACCCGTCTGCTTGTAATAAAAAAAAATACTTTGTGGATTTATTAGTTTCTGCCCAACAGCGTTAGATTTCTGTCAGTTTAATAATATATCTTTGGAAGTGATTTCAATTTCAATACCCTGCTTTCCTATAAGTATTTTAACGTCTACGTGAGACGGATTAAAATAATATTTAAATTATAACACTTTATAGTTCTCCAAACAGACAAAATAGCGCTTAAATAGTGCTTATGAAATTAGCATTTCAAAAGAAGATAATTTCCTTAAAGAGTATGGAGCAGCTGTATTTTGGTTACCTAATTCCTTTAATATAACTAATATAACACTTCCACAAGGCTGGTATGCTAATTTTGTGTAACAAATACCTGTATTTAAGAAAAAAACACTGTTTTGATCTGACCAATCGCAGATTTTATCCGTAAATGTTTTACGAATTACACCTTTTTTGTATCTTAAATACTTAAAGTTGTTTTCCTTCAACATATGTTTTGCAGTGTTTTTTGCGATCGCAGTACGCATTTATTGCAGGAATCAGGATGTTGCAATTTACTTACAATTAACACAAATAATACTTTTTGCAATAAATTAGGTCTTACAGCTTTACCACAATAGATTCTATTTAAATCGAGTGAGTGTTTATTTCTTTGCTTGGCTTACACGCACTTTTGCAAGAAAAATACGCTACTATTTTTATTATACGTGTATTGAATACACCAAGTTACTATATACTACAATGTTTTTTACATTAAAACTAAGCAAAGAAATATCACATTCATATTACAAAAAAATATAGAAAAGGACCTTTCTAAATATAATAGTCATAATGATCCTCATTTCATCGTATTGGTACGAGTACAATACTAACACAATATGAAATACTTAAAAGTAGTAAATACAACATTTATTTTATAGTGACTTAGGTAAGTGTTCATAAATATTTTTGTATATAAAACATTTACTCAGCACAATATATGTACATTAGCTACGAAACAGAGCGACATTTACAGAACGCAATAGACTCAATGGTCCCATATATACGCGGTAATACAGCTGTGTATCCTCCTATCCTAAAACACTGTTGAAACATTTTGTTGGAGGAAAACAGCCAGTGAAGAGTGTACTAAAAAAATAAAATGGCGGCGGCAGAAATTTGGAGGCTGTTCGCTTCGCGCTGCGAACTTTGGGTAACAATAAATGTGACTAGTTACTTTATCATGAACTGTTTTTATTTTATTTGTTACTTTTATTTTTCACTCATCGATGTCGAATACAATGGATTTTGAAAGTTTTCGAACAGCCTTCACTGATTGAAACCGCCATTTTGTCGTGTCGCTCATTTTGTTCGTTACTATAGCTTTGGGGTGTTTTGTATTATCGCAACTGTTCGAAAACTTTGCACTAGTTCTATTTTGTTTGTTTGTTTTAGTTTGATCTTCATTGTAGTTAGTTTTTTCTATTGAAATTTACTATGTGGTAGTTATTAAGAATTTCGAAACACCTCAATCTAATATTTACCATGGTTTCTTTAAAAAATATACTTAGTCCTAATGTGCAAAAAGTTCGTAACTGACTCTTATCGCAGTTGCCACCTAACTAGTAACGGTAATAAGAATAGTACGCAATATTTAACATTTCCGAACAGATTCTATAACTGATTTGTAATAGGTACACAGAAAAACATAGCTAATTGTCAGCTGCAAACTATTTGCTTATCTCCACTACAATTTATTTTTGTTTAAATTAATTAAAATGATTAATTTATCCTCAGGTATGTGTTCACTATAGTGAGCTATTTAATAGGAGTTTTCATATTCGCCACAATAGTGGGACAGGTTGGCAATGTTATTACAAATAGAAACGCCAATAGACTGGAGTTTGAGAGACTTCTGGACGGTGCCAAGACTTATATGAGACATCATAAGGTAACGAACAATGTAGTTTCAAGCTTTCATATAACTTGTGTTTTGAGTATGTTTCAACGTCTTTGAAAACTTTTACAAAGTGTATTTGGTACCATTTTTTCTAAACCGATATTAAGATTAACACTGTGACATATGTGTGAATATGTGAATTTCATATGACAGAGGTAACTGTCGGTCTTTTCGTCTATTCAACATAAAACATTGTCATGATACGGCTAGCTAAAATTTTCTTGAAAAGTTCTATAGACCTAGATAGTGATGAGTACCTACAGATACTGTAACTGTTTATAGGAACTTTTTGTGTACTCAACTCCATAACCTCCTGTAATAGCTTTAACAGATGGTATCACGAGTCTAGATTCTTCAAATTAAGGGTGGAAAATTAAGTTATGAAAATTACAGTTTATTCCAATTCATCATACAACATGGCCCGGCAGTATTACAGAAGATTACCGATCAAATTCAAACTCAGCTTATGTAATGATATCGGACGTTTTACAGGTTCCAGGCGGTATGAAACGTCGGGTGTTGCGATGGTACGACTATTCCTGGTCACGAGGACGTATTCAAGGAGGAGGAGATATCAACACCGCCTTGGGTCTGCTGCCCGACAAACTGAAAACAGAATTAGCATTGCACGTAAACTTGAGTGTATTAAAGAAGGTATGTTGACAAAAGGTTAATATTTCAAATTTAAAATTCCAACTTTGTTACAACCAACCAATTAAAACATTTCGTTAAATGACTAAAACATTCCGTATTAAAGTTAACGTTAATGTATCACTGGTTCAGAAACTGTAATGAAAGGCATACGGTAATCTATGCGATTCATTTCTAAACATTAAAAAAAAAAGGCACACGAAAACATATCACATTTAGAATATTGTGTACAATTTTTTTTAATAACACGTGCTATAAATTTATAAATTAATTTAGGCCGGCAACGCGTTTGTGAGTTCTTAGTTGCGTTCTCAGTTCATGGGCGGTGATAGTCACTTTCCGTCTGCTCGTCGACCCCCTCTGACATAAAAAAATACATAAATAAAAAGACTACAAAAACTACAAGAGTTCCACATAAGATATTTTTACCTGTCATTGTACCAAAGTCTATACAATGGCAGTTCAAATTACACTGGTCAATAAATAAAACATTTAAAACAGTCGGAATTCAACTTAAGGCAATTTCTATCATTATAAATACATACCATGGAATGCGAAAGTTTATAAATTATAGTTTAAAAGAACGCTTTTGTGACTAGCTGAACTTTTCTACAAGTTCAAAAAGAAACATCAATTTGCATTCCTGCGTGAGTCCAAGATCTAACTTGTTGTAAAAATATTTTATTGAGTAAAAGTAAAGTTATTATAATATGTATTATAAAATATGATGAAAAGCACCCCACGTTTTTTTACGTCAAAATATTTTTCCTTTTTGACTTATACAATATTATTTTCTACTTTTTAGGTAGGCTATTGGTAAAGGCGTGTTTTTTAAATTAGTATTTAATTTGCCCATTAGGACTAAAAAAGTAAGAAGTAAGTAACTCACATACTCGTAAAATATGCTTCAGCACACGTCTCAGTACGTTTCAAAAGACACTACCGTATTTTTAGGTAGGGAATAAGCCGTTAATCCTGAAGACCCTCATCAGGATAATGCGACAAATTTATCAAATTACTGTATTTTCGTCAGTCCTTGACGAGTGTGCGAAGTTTAAATTCAATACGACGTTTTAAAGTGGGTGAAAATCAAATTCGAAAATTCCGTTAAATAGATAAATACATATCAATCCAATAAAAGCGTGTTAAGTTCATTTCTACTAGCAGGCTATAGATCGTTCAGGAATATCAAATTCATAATTGGAAAATCATGCCATTAAGGATTTATTTAAAAGTAAGTCAAAACAAAACACATTTATCTGTTCTCTTTCATTTGCAACTTCAAAAACTCTTAACTGGGTAAGCCTTTCTATCTTTATTCTGGTTTGTTTATTTAAGTAGGTTAGTTTAAATACATTAGCCGTATAAAGAAATATTTTCTCTTATCTTTGTAGATTCCTATAATTAGTAATGAAGTTAAATTGTTAATATTTATTAACATTTTGAAATCCTCAAAATTTCAATAACTTTACTTAATATCTGAATCGCATCGCATAAAGTGCAACTAACGTACGACATAAATGACCAAACTGAAATCAATAATATACGAAAAATAAAAATCTTTTAAGTCATATAAAATCACTTTAACTAACTTCTCTGATACTTCACTAAGTTAAGTTCCCATTAAGTTGACCTATTTCCCGTGCTTTATAACTGCTTAAAGGCCACACTTTGTTCTTTCAGCTCTTTTATGAACAGGCCACTTGTAATTGAAATTCTTGGAAGGAAATGCCTTTAACGCTCATTTTATTTGAACTTATCTAGTACTAGCAACTACCTGGTTTAAACTGGTGTAACTTTATGAGGCAATTAATTTTAGTTTCGATTTCGAAGGAAATTAACTGTTCAACCTAATACTGGACAGAAACTAGATTTTGATTTTAGTGCCAAACATGTTTATTTCTTTGTTCATATTTAAATGTACCAAATACAATGAATTTATTCCAATAGCATACAGAAATAAAATATTCAAATAATTAATCACGACCTTTGCGCTCATGTTGACGTCCAATACCGTTGTAAAAAACTCTGTCCACCCACTGCTGGTTTGTCAATATATCCGTTTTGAAATTGAATGATAAATCCTATGGTAATTAAAACATAATCCAGCCCACACATCATATAGGACTGTACAATATATATACATATGTGTAAGTTTACACGTGTTATATTTCGACCAATAAACGTACTATTAATGTGAACTTAATAATGAGGTTTACTATAAGATAGGATATTTTGATATCTAAATTGTAACCGACACGTGTATAAATTTAATATTGAATTTGGCATCGCTGCTAATATTCTGTGGCATATTACACAAAGCTATCTAGACCTACAATAGGCATATACGAATAAGTATACCTGGATACTTTTTTCAATTTGTTAATAATGGTATCGGTGGAATTCCCATGAGGCCCTTCCCGTTTTAATAATTATCCAACCAGTCTCAAAACCAATCCTTTAATTAGCAAGATGACACATAGCAAGTACGGTGCTAGGATTCTTTTTCTAAGTTACATCTTAACTATCGTCAGTAAAACTTTGCGTTTATTCTCCTGGCCTTAAGATAACTTACCGGAGGCATTTTCAAATATCAGAATAAGAAGCTAAAGTGCCTACAAAAACGGTTAGGAAAAATTAAATGAAAAACCCCCTTAAAAAGAAGCAAGAACAATATAGGAAAACTTATTATACGCTGTTGTACGTGATAAACAAAAACCATATACACCACTAATATCTTTGCAGGTGACAATATTCCAGGAATGCCAGCCCGAATTTCTACACGACCTAGTATTAAAAATGAAAGCATACATATTCACACCCGGTGATTCCATTTGTAGAAAAGGTGAGTCGTAAAATAAGGTATTACTCCTTTTTTGTACAGTAGTCAACCAGAAAGTTCAAAGGGAAGTAAAAATTCGATCTTTTTATATTTGAAGCGATTGTTAAAGCAATAAAAATGTGAGACGCTGCTTAAACGACATGACGTCATTTCGGCAGTAAACAACGTAATAAATAAGAAGCGTAAATTATTGGAATGGCAATTTGAAATGGGTTATAGTGGATATCTTTATGGTAGATCCTGATGCAGCAATGAGATGCAGATATAACTACGCATGGATTGTTAACGAAACGTTAGCTTTCATTAAATATTTTTATTGAGTATCGTAGATCAGCAGGCCAAACGATTTTCTTTTAATTCAAAAGTAATTGAAAACATAAACAATTTAGAAAAAAGAACATGTATCTATGTTAAAACAATGTATTTTAAACTCATCATCAGAGATTCCATATGCAGTGGAATCCTATATTACTTACTGTGTTAATGGGCATTTTATTTTTCAATACGATAACAGTGATTTGAATTATTTATTTAAATCCTTTATTTCTACAAAGCTCATTTCTACCAATTTCTACAAAGTCTTGTATTATTTGTTCTCCACTCCTGTTATATAATACTTGATTGCAGGTGAAGTGGCCCGCGAGATGTTTATAATAGCAGACGGCATTCTAGAAGTAATATCAGAGACAGGACGGGTATTAACCACCATGATGGCTGGTGACTTCTTCGGTGAAATTGGAATATTAAATCTAGACGGCCTTAATAAGTGAGATTTTGTTTTGTTGCACACATCCAGGCAGATTTAAACAAAAAAGACATAAGATCTCTAAGACTAGGTGTTATTTTTACATATCATGAATTGTAGACTATATGTAGATTAATAGGTACATCATAGTGCTATAGAAACAAGATTGATTTCCCTAAGATTTAGCTTAATAGATTTTTTGTTTAATCTTAGGAAAATGCTTTAATTACTGGAAATTTCATTAACATTCTTTAACCATATGTATGTACGTTGCCATTCACTTCAGACTTCTCACTTACGAAAAGTGAAAATTTTGGTTTGTTTTGTTTAAAACCTTAGTTTGAATCAATCACTTTAGTAATGGTCTACTGAATTGACTCGATCGATCGATCATTTCTACAATTCTCTCATAAGTTTTTGATTTGATAACTTGTTATGAGAGGGTAAACCGCTTCGTTACGTAACGCGTTACGGCACCAGTCTGTCTGGCTTCCCTTTCTCTCACGCATACGGCAGCGGTAGGCAGGCTCCTCTTCTGTCACTCTAACACACAGCGCTGGATGTATTTCAGACAGACGCTTTACATAAAATTTAAGTAATAACCTAAGCTTCAAACTAACTTTTCTCAAGTTAAACAATTTCAATATTAAATAGTTCAACTTAGATGCCTTTAAGTTATCACTTCTGTCGGGCTTCCCGAAACGCATACTTTTTTCAAAGTAACTAATCAAATTTGACCCTTTTTATTAATACCGCTCGGTACTACTTCTTTTATTGCTTTTAATACTCCAAAAACAAAAATCTTCTACTAAAACATTCCTATACTACATTCCTTTCAGACGCACTGCCGACGTTCGTTCTGTAGGTTACTCTGAACTATTTTCATTATCCCGTGAAGATGTGTTAGCAGCAATGAAAGATTACCCAGAAGCCCAGGATATTTTACAAACTTTAGGCAGAAAGAGATTGCAAGAAGCCAAAAATATGTCCCGAAAATGTGCCAAAGGTAAAACGGTGAAATTAAAAAGGCTAACGTTGCTTTTGTGAATTAAATGATGTGAAAATATCTTTGAACATTATTTGCTTAAGCTTTTCTATTAAAATAGAAAAATATTGATTGTTTTCTGATACCATTAAATTTTTTACTTAGGTCCAAAAAAAAACAAAGGTGAGTATCGACGAAAATATAATTGGGAAAGTGTTAGAAAAACCATTTCAAGCATTCGGTATCGTTCATAAATACATCTTTTTAGAAAAATCACTTATTGTATAAAGCGCAAATGTATGTTGTAGGTGAATTAAGCCCAGACAAAATACCTGGCGATGACAGCGCATCTAAAAGGATAGTACATAAACTGCGGAGCGATGTTAAGGTAAACATAGATTAATTAAACTACATGCCTATTGATTACAATACGTGCAAATATATTAGTAAAGGGTATTTATTATGTACCACATATTACTGTAGAATTATGATCGAACGAACGATCCTAACTTGGGGAGTTTACCCCTGTAGGAGTGAAACTGATATTCCAATTAACTGGTAATAGATACGAAAGATTAGACCAACCTGACTATCAAAATATGTCCTAACTGTGGTGTTTCAACTTCAGAAATAAAACACAATATTCAGAAACCGTCTTAACATGACTTGAAGTACGTATATAAAACAACATTTTTTTTCTGTAACGTTAGGTGTAGTAAACCTGTGCTGTACTACACTGTACTGTTTTCGCTGTTATTACACTGTATTCAATACTAAGGGAAGGTTTAAACGTTATGGAAATTAAGCAAAATTAAAAAAAATTAAACCAGTACTCTAAAATACTCTTTATTAATATTTATCAAATACTTACAAACAAAACAAAATTTCATAATTTACAGGGTATTCGAAACGCAATTCGTAGCAGGTCTCGTGCAAGTCGTCGTTCAGGAGAGTCATTAGAGTTGCAAGCCCTTGCTGGCGCAGAAAGAGCGATCACATCTGAGGGCAAGGTTTTGAGGAGAATGACGAGGGTCGAGAGCGACGATTCCCAAGTGCATAATCAAGATGTTAGTGAAAGCTTTCAATTTAAATTAGTCTCCCTTTATATGTTCTACTAGTACCGCGGCCCGCGGTACTAGTAGAACATATAAACCCGCGTACCCGCGACCCGCGAATTTGAAAAGCGCTGCCTTAGTGGTGTAGTAAGGTACGCGACTGCAGTCCATGAGGCGGCCTTAGTTACTCCTTATATAGACAGCTGCCTGATAGCAAAATATTACCTAAATAGGTCCAGTCGCACAGTATGCCGCGTAGAACATGCTAGGTGGACAAAATTATTTTATGTTATATAAAGATGCTTTTACATAGAGGTAGTCATATTTAGATATTATTTACAGTTTTTTGTTTTATTTTTTAATAAAAAACTATTTTTTTAAATCAGAAAAATAAATTTAAAATACTCAAATATTTTTTGATAAAGAAAAATTTACAAGTCAAGGTTTACATGCTTAGTACAAGCACGAGTACATACTACAATTAGCGTCCAATAATCATATTAAATTAATATATACTATACTAATAAAAATAATATACAAACAAAATTTTTTAACAACATAACTAAAGTAGCTTAACCTAATAATCATCATCAGAGTCTTCTGATGAGTCATTTACTGTATAATCATCATCATTTTGTGGCATTGTGCGACAATATGATGACGATTCCAGTCTGGAATTTTCTATGCTAGGGCTTACAATTAACTTTAATACATCTGTACATATTTTTTCCAGCTTTTTTTTGGGAATCTCTCGAAGGCTATTAATCAAAGGATCAGATGTTATAATTAACATAGACAGTAAGTCTCTATTCGTGGCAACACGCGAGCACTTGCGGGTGTTGTACTCCCTAAATCTGCGGCAATCTTTATTCCATGCTTCCTGAGCCTCTTCGGAAAGCTGCCCAATTGGAAGCAATGCCGCTTTGATGACTTCTGTGCTGTGAATTAATATTTTATACACAGTAGCAGGCATACAGTACCACGAATAGAGACTAAGATAATGTTTTCGGGTTTCAAGACAAAATTTATTGAATTCAACTAAGTTTATCTCGAATCCAGAAGACAATGTCCTCAAAATAACATCAAACTTTTTTATAATTGTAACATCCAACCCTGTGATCTGAGCACTCATCTCAGCATTCTTAAAAATTGGCTGTATTTCCATCATTTGAAGAACCAAATCCTGGCTTTGGCTTATATACAATAAGTCCCATCTCGTTCTTAAATTTCAATTTAATTTCTTCGGAACGAACCTTGATATCTGCTTTGTCTTCGTTGCTTCTAGCCTGCCATTTCTTAATATTCAACTTGTAACTGATATGTAAAAGACATTCGAAGCAACGAATCCAAGCATGAAGTGTAGATAAACCAAAGCCAAAATGTTCTTGATTGCTGTTAAACATCGCGGGGTCATCGTTCATCGTCTTGGGGGTGGCGCCACAGATGAAACACTTTTGTGATGAATGAGTTTCCGTTAAGGCGTTACACACCTTTCCGTCTGTCATTGTCAGCAAAAGTTCGTGTTGTACAGAGATTTGAGAATCACCAAAGTTGATGAGTGTTGGAAGAAGGGCATTAACTTCTTCCAACAATCTATTTGTCTCCGCTAACGTGAAATCCTTCGTTTCTTTGGCAAATATAAATTTGATTGGGCGACAATACAAAGTTGATGAAGGCCGAGGATTTTGCCAAATAATTTTAGACCCATCATATAACTTAAGGGGAAGTAAAGAAAATACGAAAAGAAACTCGTCCGTATCTTTAGGGTTCTCAAATCTCTGTTTATATGTGCTGTGCCCAGAACTTCCATCACATCCCCATTTACTAACAAGTGTAAACGATGAACTTGTTGGGAGCACACTGCTGATAACTTCATTCTGTGCTAACACTAGACGTTCCACTGTTTTATTTAATAAGGCTTGCAAATTTATTTCAGCACGAGTTTCTGTTATAGCAATGTGCTCCTCTGCAGGGTAACAGGCCTGTTTGGACTTTTTTAAACTAAAATATGACGGAAACACATTATGGCCCGCCTTCATGGACCACTTCCTAGTTTGTTTGTAAGAATGCGTTGTTGACTTAGAATCTATATAGTAAGCTAAGGCTTCGTCACTACTTAATTGCCTAGGATTAACGGAACTGGTATTTTTAGACTTAATAGTATTATCTGGGCTCTCACTAATGTCTCTAATCACATTGGCAATTTTCCTTTGCCCTGCTGAACGCACAGTAATTTCGGCAGCAGTCACCAATTCACTGACACTTCGAGATTCTACGAGATCCACGACGCGACGTTTCTTCGTCTTAAACGACGATTTCTCGAATTCTTTGAGAGGCCTTCCTGCAGGAGTCACAGCCTCAATTGATGTCGAAGGTTGTGGCGCAAAAGAACTCACAGTAAACTGTATGTCTGCTTCATCCAACCAAGTCTTATTTTTAATTAAAAAACGCTCCTTCGACTTTCCTGAAGCCAACCATTTGGCACCAATCTTATTAGACAAGTTAGATATCTTCAACTTTATTTCTTTTTGGCTACTTTCAGTAATGTCACCAAAGTGAAATTTTGAAGAAAGATAGTCATATACATGCGAGTTTTTTTCATTCTTCGTGTGTTTCAACCTCTCCTCAAAAAAGGCTACCCTTGAAATAGAGTAAACGTGTTCTGAAAAAAAAAGAAAAAAAACATGTTGTACTGAAGTGTGCTAAACAATATGTGTATTTTTACGAAGAATAAAGTTATTTCTGCGTAAAACTAGCCCGGATAGAGGTGAATGTCTGTATATTCTGACCTTTCAAAGTTTTTTTTATAAAAAAAATACGCTAAAACGTATAGGCTATTTTTAAAAAAATACTAAAAATTCAAATTAATAGATTATGATTAAAAAAATACATTAAAAAATAGTACTTACCCTCAGTATTAATATCCATCACAAAAACTTTCACAATATTACGATATGCCACTATGAGATGTGCACGAAAGTATCGCTAAATTGCAACTGATTGATTGAAAGGGTTGCATTAAACTCATTACCTGACTTCTGACCCTTATGACTCACCACTTGCGAATTTGACGAACAACATTTTCTCGGAATTCGGGGTTTGGGGGTATTGTTTACGTTTTGCAAATAAGATCTCCTGGAAATGATAACATGAATTTTGTCCACCTAGCATGTTCTACGCGGTACACTGTGAGTCGTCTTGAAGATTACCCGGAACAAAGGGACAGACAGACAGACAAAAAATATTTAAACTGGTTTGTAGGCATATGTATCGTGCAAATAACCGTGGAAGCATGAAAAAAAACCTATTATTTTGACATTACAAACAGACACTTCAATTTTTTTTTATTTGTATAGATATAGTCACAAGCTATTGTGCCTGGCTTTAAGAAGAGAGGCTAGCTGAACAGTTTTTCTAAGGATTTTATTTATAGATGTTATTAGATGTTTGGTTTCAAAATCTACTCACATTTCAGGATGTCAATGGAGAAACAATATTAGGCAGCAAAGATGGTGAAAAATGTATATCACCAATAGGAGCAGGATTACCGCTTCTTTCACGATTAAAATTACTCAAAGAAAAGCAGGTATTAACATTAAACACTTGGTATCTTATATCTTCTTATTTTAAATAAATGTCTTGCTGACAATAATAAAAAACAGAAGGCTAGTAATAAAAAACATTTTTTCCAGGATCGTGAAGAAAAAGTAGCTAAACAGCGGCATTCAACGTGTTCAGTAGTATCATTATCCACACAGCCAACTCCTTCAACCAGTTCAGCACCTGATCAAGACCCGGAAGTTATAGGAGCTGGTTTACCACTAATTCAAAGACTGCTCTTACTAAAAGCCAAGGAAGAAAGAGAAAAAAATCAATTAACCCCTACCATGAGTAACCAACCCTCCAGTTCCGATACTATTAGTCCCAGCTCCATCAAAAGTCCTTTAAGCCCAACAATAAAAAATTTGAGCCCCATTAGGAAAAGCTCAGAGTCTAGTTCACCTGGAAAACTACAAAGCCCAACTACGAAAACCTCTAGGAAAAATTCTTCGGGTTCAAGTGATGGAAATTCTCGTCCGAAAGTTAGCTTTAGAGATAAAATTTTACAAGTCCAAAGCGACGGTACTGCGGTTTGTCAACCCCTTAATAAAGATGTCACTGAAAAGCCTGCAGCTGTTGTTGAACCGACGCCAAAGACGGAGAGCAATTTAATTTCAATACCTCATTCTGTAGTCACTAAAATAAAATCTCCAGCCAAAGCCGTTGGAACAACATTTCGAGACAAATTAAAACTATTGCAAAGTGTCAAAGACCCAGACAATTCAACATCAGAAAAAAATAAAACATCATCCATAGAAAAAGCTCCTATAGAAATTAGTCCTATGCCAACGACTGAAGCGAAGGAAGAATCTAAAAGTAAGAAACCATGGAGCAAGCTGAAAAAAGCAGCTATATTAGGTGAATCTAAAAACCAAAGCAAATCTAGTCTAGAGGAACATAATGATATTAAACCTAGTTGTGATATAGAAAAAGAAAATAAAGCGGAGGTAACTGTAAATATATGCGTACCTACTGTAACCACGGCGGAGCTTGTTAAAATAGACAATAATAATGTTGAAGATGCTAGTGATAATGATAAAGATAAATCTAAGCTCAGCTTAACAGGCCCTTCGGAACCCGTCCAACAAAAATCTTTAGATTTATTAACTTTGTCCCCCAAGAAAAATGTTACCAATATTACAAAAAATGCCGACATTAAAAGTGCTTCTATGATATCAGGTATGTTACTACCACGAGTTAAGAAATATAGATCAATTGATGATTTGTCGCCGGAATATGGTGGATTACCGTTTGTGAAAAAGTTGAAAATACTAAACGAAAGACAAAAGCTAGCTGAACTAGAGAAAGTAGTAAAAATTCGCAGCTCTAGCTTAGATTGTACTAGTTCCACCGAAGATTTACTTTGTGACACGTTAACTAGAAGTCATTCAGAGGGCAGTACAATGGATAAAAGGAAATTCAAACGAAAATCTATAGATTCTATTGGAAGTCATGGATCAAACGAAACACTTGAACGACGCACATTGAAATCTATTTTAAAGAAATTATCGGAAGATGTTACACCGGCTGAAAGTCCTGAACGCAGTAATGAATTAAAAAGGTTAATACGAGCACCAACATTAGAAGGCTATGCTGCAAGGCATTCAAAATTTGCCAAAAGTGTAACATTTAATCGTCATACCTTACCCTCACCTCCAGCTAGTGCTCTTGCTGATAGCCCAAATGACGACGTTTTCCAAATGCCTGAGCCAACCACTGAATCCAATTCTGTAACACCACTATCGCAAGTAGCTGCCGCTGAAATACAAAACACTGAAACCCCTAGTGACCAAATAGTATTACCTGCTGAAAACGTATCGCAAAACTATGGCATAAATATTACAACGGAATACGAACAACAAAACAATATAGATCCTCCATATGATTTAAAATCACTTAGACCTGAGGAAATCAAAATACCTTCAGAGAAACCTAAACTAAACCTGATATCAGCTGTTGCAAATCAGCGAAAACTGTTACGGGGTAATTACATTTTTTTAACATTAGTACTGAAGTTTTAATTTTTTATACACTATATTGTGTAAACAAAGACTATTTATATTTTTGGACAGGTTCACTTGAGGAGCAGGAATATTTTGGGGAAGTATTGCTTGGCATCAAACAAGTTATTCAAGGTCACTTGCATGACGTTCAGGGTAAATTCCAAGAAAGGTAAATGTATTATAGGTACTACTTTTTAACATTTCAATGAAATATTTCTTGTAAACTGCTGAAGCTATAAATAAAATTCCAGTAAACATTATTTTATTTTTATATACATACTTACTAAAAACAGTTTATTAACACTTTTAGGTTTAACAGTCTAGAAAATGAAGTCCGCAAACGAGATGAAATTATAAGTCAGTTACAAAAACGCATACAGGAGCTAGAACGCCTTGGAATGTCTGGCTTGAGTCTAACGCAGCAACCGCCGGTACTGGAAGAAACTTCAGGAGACCCTATAAAAGAAGCTATTATAACAAGTCAACCGATGTCGAAAAATGGTAGTTCGGGCAGCGATGATGCTTCAGGAGCGGAGGAAGGTTTTATGGTATGTATACCAATACGTAATAATTACTAAATTGGACATTACAGGCCATTCTTAAAAAATATTTAAAAATTATGTCAGTAACAAAACACAATGTGTTAAGATAGTTTCATCAATTAGTAAGTGTGTTTCCCTTTGTTACGGCGTTCCTCAAGGATCAGTTCTTGGCTCAACACTCCTTTTAATTTATATTAACTCACTCTACAACCTTAGCATACCAAACTGTTCTATCTGTACTTACGCCGACGACACAGCCCAACTTGTCCACGGCTCTAGCTGGCGTATGCATATAAATAATCTGACGCCCCGCGTTGACCTCTTCCAAAAACTTCGTCACTCAACAGAACATAACATTCTTAAAATGGTCTGTAGCTCACTCTGCCACACTATTGTGTCATACTGTAAACCCACTTGGGGAGGGGCTGCCAGAACGATCTTACTACCGCTTGAACAACGAGCAGTACTTAAAATCATGACCTGTAAACCTTTTAGATATCCCGCCACTCCCTTATACAATGAATGCAAACTTCAAACTTCAAACTTTGTGCTCCAAACCGTACTACGAAAACGCAATACTCTACAATTTGATCCAGAGAGCCAGAACACACGTAGACCGTATAGAGTTTGCCCAACTTTCACTTTCAGAAGCGCACTTTCCTGGGCATTTTCGTGTTACAGAAGGACATCTTTACAACACCATAAATACGTACTGCAGTATATATCATCTTTCAAAATGATCCAAATCAAAATTCAAAATTTCCGATAAAAGACTGAAAGCTCTATATCTTCAGATTCTACTATCACGCCCTTCTTTACATACATGACTGCACATTTGTCTACACCTAAACCAATCTTGATAGAATTACTAAAGTTTAATAAAATACTTTCTGAAAATAATTTTATAAATATTGGCCAATTATTAATGTGTTTAATGAAGCTAAGACACTAAAATATACCTAGACTTAGTTCTGTTAAAACCAAAATTGTAATCTTACATTTTTCAGAGAGGTGATTCCTTGGATACAGTATTTGCTACATCCCCACCAACAGTAAGTGGTGATGAAGGAGAAAAAGATAGAACACCAGAAACAGAAACTATACCACCTGAAGTGACCATATCGAGTTCAGATATCACTGAAGAAAAACTAACTGAATTAACTGAAGGTATAGAACTGGGCAGACTATCGTATGCCGAATTACAAAACTTAGCTGTTTCTTTATCGAAGCATGCTAAAAAATCTTCTAGTAAAGAGGAATGGACCGTAAGCAAGTCTAAAAGATTAGATTTGAATCTAGATGGAAAAGCCGGCACTTATTCGAGGAAAAGAGCCGCGAAGTTGAGGCAAAGGAAGTCATGGGAAGACCAAAGTGACCAAGAAAGTATGGAAATGCAAGACTTGACACGGTATAAACATTTATATTTTTTTTATGTTATTTACGTAAGTACGCAAATAAAGGGTAAATTTTGACCAAGTAATAATAACTTAGCAAGAAACATTGATGTCCTCTTTCAAGATTAAGTAAGTTTTTTGTGTAGATTAGAGAATAAAGCTAATTTGTTTTTTTAGACCAATTTCACCCCACACAACATCCGAAGATCGGTCTCTTCTATCCCCCGAGCAGTCGAGCCTTCGTGGCAGTCGACGTGCGATGCATCCCTTTCACTTTTTTGGAAGCCACCTGGACAATACCAAGTCCAAAATCAAGAAGACGCTCTCTGTTGACACAGGAATGCATCACACTGGGAAGAATGAGAGAAGTGAGTTTATGAATTTGTCTGAAAAATGAATATTTTCTTTTAAACAGAAACTGTTTTGACAAATTATTTCATTTTTCAAATTCGAATTGATCTAAAATACCGTTACTGTTTAATATAACATTTATTAAGTTCCCATTGATTAAAGTTAGAGCTACTGCTAAATTAAAAACAATCTTTAAAAATTAAGTTTTAAAATGTACATATTGATGTCTTAATGTTCTAATTAGATTTTCTGATACTTAAAGATCTTTTGAAATTAGCTTATGTATACGGTCATAATACCTTCATGGTTATTTCTCCATTCTCTGTGTGTACTTTTCAACATTGATTAAGTTAGGTCAATTTCCAGAACAAGGTCGCCCTCGCCAGCACCGCAAGTTCAGCTTAGGTTCATTCTTTGGTTACCATCGAGGCGCATCGCACAAACCCACGAACAACTGTAGTGAAGTAGTGCTGGATATGGGTAGTGACTACAGCTGGAGCGATACGTAAGTTTACCTTTTAAAACTCCGTTAAGATATTTTTAGGAAAAATTGTTAACTATAACATACAAGACACAGTGAGGTATATGTGTAAACCTACCTACCTCCAAAAAGATTACTTGCCTATGATTTTCTGGCAAAAATTACTAATGGAGAAGGAGTTAAGGACTCAGTTTAATTTTATTAAGACTTTGCCATGCTTGACTTAACTGCATTTCTCCTGTCTGAGCCTCATCATCGTCTGATTATTTGACATAATCTGGATTCTACGTGTTTTAATTACTACATAGTATCAGTTTACCATGTTATGGCAGGACTTCAACGTCGTCAAGCAGTGACTCAGAGTCGTTACCTCGAACGCCCATGTTTGAAGAGTTTGTAGAAAACAGCTCCCGACGTGGCCGGGCCAGCAGCTCTAGTCATGGTAGCACATCGCCGATCAGAGGTAAGTTTGAAGAGTTTATACTCGGTGATAAAAAGAAAACAAACACTTCCAATTTGCCAAAAAAATATTATGAAAGTCATCTCGTATGACATTAGACGGCTTTCATTTTTTTTAATAAAGTTAGTTTGTGTGGACCGTGTGGTGACGGATTAAGAATACAGAGTGTCACCACCCCTATTCATCCCGTGGGTGTCGTAAGAGTCAACAAAGAGAAGGAAAACGTGACACAAACCCTTTTTTTTTTTTTTAACGTGTGGAAATCCCCTCGGACCGTCACCCCTCCGGGGTTTGCGGCGGGGTGGTGTGTCGGACTCGGACCGACTAAAACCACACGGTGTGCCACTCTGCGCCTGTAACAGGAGGGATCCGGGAACAGCTGTTGTTAAGACATCCGGACCCCTCCTAGCGCCAGCCCGCTCCTGGTGCGGGCTCCGTCTCAATGTGGATGTTCCTCTCTTTAGGCGACGTCCGGCACACGCGGACGCCGCCCCCTCGCGGCTGGCCAAACTAATGCGGGTGGAGGGGAAACCCACCCCGTCCACCCGCGGCCACACTCAGGGCGGCATGAGGCTGTGATAGGCGGGCCTCCGCCGCCCGGTTCGCCGGCGGCATATCGGGTCCGAGTGGAGGTCGTCCTCCCGGGCCCTCTCCGCCGCCTCCTTCCGCGAGATTACTACCTCGCAGAAGGTTGCGACCGCGGTAAAACAACTGTCGCTACCGGCCATGGAGCGTACTACGGCCGGTAGCGAGAGATCCACTCCGATGACTGCAGTGAGGGCCCGGCGCTGCGCCGCCCATGCGGGGCAGACCGCCAGCGTGTGCTGGGCCGAGTCCTCACTGCAGTCGCAGTGGTGGCAGGCGGGACTCAGTTCCCTCCTAGCGACCGTGTGCAGGTACTTTCCGAAGCAACCGTGCCCGGAAAGCACCTGCGTCAGCCGGAAGGAAAGGGTCCCGTGCTGCCGCCCTGCCCACTCGGCGATGACCGGCTGGAGAGCCTCCACGGCGGCGAAGCCAGCACGTGGAGTCTCCAGCCGGAACGACCAACGAGCCATCGTGGCTCGGCGAGCGGCTTCGCGCCACTCGCGCACATCCTCGGGCGGAGGGCGAAATCCGCTCTCCGCCCGGAAGTCAGCCACTCGCCGATAAACTTCGGCGAGCACTTCCGCCTCCAAATCCCACGGGGGAGTTCCGGCCAATGCGCATGCCACCTCCGTCGAAACGGTGCGGTAACCGCGTATGGCTCTGACCGCCATTACCCTCTGAGGGCGCCAGAGGCGTACCCTATTCTGGGCGGTCAGAGCCGCCGCCCACACCGGTGCACCGTACAGTGCCATTGACCGGACAACCCCCGTGTACAGCCGTCTTGTCGCGACGCTGGGTCCACCCATATTGGGCAAAAGTCGCCCTAGGGCAGACGCAGCGCCGACCAGCTTTGGAGCAAGCTGTCGGAAGTGCTCGTCGAAGAGCCACCTCCCGTCGAGGCCCAGATATTTCATCTGGGCCCGAACCGGTACGAGGACCGAGTTGACCACGATTGAGGCGCCAGGGGGTGGACCACGACGGGGCCCATGGAATAACAGGGCCTCCGTCTTATCTAGGGCCACCCGTAAGCCCAGCGCCTCAATGCGCCCGACCACCAGGGAGACTCCCCCTGTGGCCAGGCGCGCCGCCTCTTGGAAGTTTGCCCCCCGGGCTGTCACGAGGGTATCGTCTGCGTAACAGATTACACCCAGCCCGGGGGGGAAATCGGCGCGAAGGGCCCAGTCGTACCCTATGTTCCACAAGAGGGGTCCAAGAACAGACCCCTGTGGAACACCGCACGACATGGGCCGACACCTCAGATTACCTTCTCGGTCCTCGTACACGACGGTACGCTCCTCTAAATAGTCTGCCACTAGCCGCCTCAGGTACTTTGGCACCCCATGATAGTGGAGTGCTTCCCTGATGCAGCTGAATGGCAGACTATTGAATGCGTTGAAATGCAGATGTCCAATGACACCGCCAACAGCACGCCGCCACAGCTCACGGCCTCTTCGGTCACGGCCCTCAGGCGCAACACGGCGTCGACTGTCGAACGCCCCGCCCGAAAACCAAATTGGGCGTCCGACAGATCGGGGCCCACCTCGCAAAGGTGCCGGACGATGCGGGCGGAAAGAACCCTCTCAAACAATTTGCCCGCCTCGTCCAGCAGCACGATGGGCCTATAGGCCGCGACCGAATCGGCAGGCCGTCCCGGCTTCCTCAATAGGACCAGCTTCCCACTCTTCCAGCACTCAGGAAAGCGTCCCGACGCCAAGCTAGCGTCGAACACCTCCCCGAGGCGGTCTGCCATGTGGTTGAGGGCCAGGGCCAGCACTCGGGCCGGTACCCCGTCTGGCCCAGGGGCGGTGTTCTTGGAACGGATCCGTAGAACAGCCGCCCCTACCTTCGAATCCCGGACGGACGGAACATTATCCTCCCCGTGCTCCCCGTCGTCTCCGGCCAGGGAGGCCATCGACGGGGGAGTGTGTTCCGCTCGTTGTGGGAAAAGGCCCTCAACCACTTCTCGCAGGAAGCTGGGCTGGAGAGTCTCCGTAAGGGGGGGGCCCGACGCGCGGAGCTTTTGTCGCACCGCGCGGTAAGGGCGACCCCAGGGGTCACGATTAAGACCCTCCAGCATCTCCTGTCTCTTTTCTTCTTTGGCGCGGCTAATGGCCAGCTTCAGAGTTTTCCGCGCCCGTCGGTACTCCTCATGAAGCCGGTCCTCCTCACCGTCTCCACGGTGACGCCGCCGACTGCGCGTGTAGGACCTCCGGGCACGTGTACAGGCCGCACGGAGGTCCGCCAGCTCCTGGGACCACCAGTAGACCTCCTTCCTTGGAGGCCGACGACCTCGAATGCGGGGCATGGCCGCATCGCATATATGCGTAATCGCATCGCGAAAGCAACCAGCCCCCACGTCGACCTCCTCGGTCGGAGCCTGAGGAGACAGCCACGAGTGAATTATGGCTGCCTCCTCTAGTAGGTCCCGGTAAACCCTATACCAACCCGCCTGGCCAGCGTGGTATAGTAGGCCAAAATATTATTTTTAAGGAGAGGCCTATGTCCAGGAGTAGATTACTAAAGGATGCTACTGTTGCTGATGATGTGGATGAAAAATACCCTCACACTGACACACACAATTTTATTGATAATTTAAGGATGGAGTCGCTTTGTTTCTTATGGGTTAATTGTTTCAGTATAGTAATGGTATATATATATATATATATACCATAGGGTACTTAATATAGTATGGTATAGTTTGTGATTAATTTCTACGTTTTTTATTTATAGCTCTACCTGGTAGCGGAGGAGACTGGGAGGTCATGATGCTGGCAGATGAGCTAGAAAAAAGGGAGAGAGAAAAAGATCGGGAAGAATCCAGGCGACATCATTACCCCACCACTCTCAGGGACTTGGAAGAGGTGAGAATAATTTTACAAGTACTGAGACGTATCTTCTAAATTCTGATATAATTTAATACACTTAGTAAATGACTACAATTGTATTAGAAAAATACTCTTTGAACTTTTTTACTGCTTATATAGAAAAATCTTGTTTATTAGAGAAACGATAAATTTAATAATTTATCAATAATTATTACGTAAAAAATATTAAGTAGTTGTAAAACAGTTACGTTGCTCACAAAAGATCGTAGCTTACGCAATACAGACTGCCTTTTCTCAGGAATCGGACACCCTTCAACGTGATGATAGCCCTGACGACTTCTCTAACATCGAAGATTCGAATTCTTCTTCTACAACACATCTCCTTTCTCAGTCTATTAGCGACGCGTCGCATAAATCCTTAGAGACATCCTTCACGGAGCAAACACCTCGACAGCCCCGCCAATCACGTGTAGGATCCGTTGGGGAACCGGTAAGAACTTCTGATTTTTGTTTATGATTTGAACACCTATTTTCCTGAGGCATTATATAAACAAAATTAGAAATTAAGAGAAACAAGAAAATATATTTGAGTGTTAATAGTTTAACAAAATTTAATGCCTAATGCTCTTGATCATCTTTCTTCAGGTACGGCAAGATTCCTCACTCAGTCAGTCACGCGGTTTGATCCTCCGAGCGGCAAGTCTAGACCGAGAGACCAACGCTGCAACTGCCCAACCGCGACGTTTTGGCTCCCTCAAAAGTGCAAGCACTGACTCCCATAAAAGACTCTGATCCGTTTGGCCGAGCGGACTCTCCCAATCTGGGGACGCCGTCAAAGAAAGAGGTCCAAAAACTATTGTGATAGGAGATACGGCTCAAAATACTCATGTAATTATTGAAAGTAAGGGTAGTGATAAACAAGAGATTGGCAATGATCAAGAATGTAATAAAGAAGAAGAAATAAATAAGAAATGTAAAACTGAAATTTTAATTGAACAAAGTAATCAAAGGTCTGACGGTGACACAAATCAGGGGAATGGAGGTAATGATAGAGAGATTAGAGATATAAATGAAAACGTACGAGAGAATGAAACAAACATATGCGATCAGGTAGATAACGGTCAATTATTGATCGTTATTATTTTGTTCTACGATAACTTTGATTATATTATTTTATTATTAGTACAATGAGATCATGTGATTTGTTTATATGTAAACTATCCTATCTAACTATCGTAGGTTTTATTCTATCTTAGCTCTATTATAAATACTTTAGCCCTTAGTGTTTAGTGAATAGAATTTCGATTATTTAGTGTTTTAATTTTTGAATTAGCTTCGTTGTGTTAAATGTGCACAAATAAATTCATACTATTATCTATGTGTAATTTTAAAATATGTTTAAAACATACTTTGATGGTTCCTCCCGTTGCACTCGCTACGATAAGTATATTAAATTTAAAATGATTTGCAACAAGTCAAATAAATCTAGTCATCAAATTTTAAATCATTTGAATAAATGTTAAGTTTAGAGCTCTTTTGTATAGTATATGAATATTACTATATAGTTTTGATGGCTAAAATACTGTATAGTGTGGTGGTATCATTTTACCTTCACAAAAATTAGCACAATATTATTATTAATGTTGATATTTAATGTAAAAATCCTATTACTTTAAACTCTTGACTTTAAGTAGATAGGTAGTCGTATGAAATATATAATTTATAACAAAGTCCGTTTATTTGTTTAATAATAGTGCCAAAACGATTAACTAATTATTGTCAAATCTTTTTTAATAAAATTATTTATTAGATGTTTTGATAATTGTAAATAATATATTAGGCGAAAACGTTTACTCGAATATTATTGTACACTAGAGAGTTAAAACTAAAGGCATAATAAGTTTTAGAAAATATACTTAGTTACTATAGATCTATCAATTATATTAAAATGGAAGTCGGTTATCGATAATAATAAATTAACTAATTATTATTTTTAACCCCTTAATGTATAAGAAACTAGAGAGATGAATAACTATATCGATACAGAGTAAGTTACTAAACGCACTCTGTGACTCAAATACGTTAGATTAAAATAAATAGTTCTTACCCTACCCGTGTATGCTCGCCAAAAGATTTGAGCATAATATCTATCTATGTGTTTTAGTTTTGTTTTACATATATATTGATATAAGTATACGTTCAGAGTAAACCTGCAAATTCTACCCAGATATAAAGGTCTGTATTTGACTATGCTAAGACACTAATGGGGTGCTAGGAAGTTTTAAACTATGATTTCTGTATCTTTTAAAGCACTACAAACAATTCATAAGATCTATTTGTACAGTAAAGAAATGAAGTGAATAAACGGTTTAAATGATGCATATGTACCTAATTTACATAAATTTAATGGTAATTTATCAAAATGTGAGTATGTTTCCTATTGTCGCATTTTATTGTAAACACAATAATTTATCATCTGTGCAAGCAAATTGCTCATTCACCTACTGTATACATCATTTTGTATTACAGTGCATAAAAGAAATTGCCAACAAAAATATACCTACTTGGCTTTTTAAACTCACTCTTTATCATATAATAAAATTTTCGAATAAGTACTTTAAATTCCTCCCGTGTATTGTTTTTATGTAGTTACCTCTTTCAAGATAGGTGTTCAAAGAAAAGATCAAAAACTGAAAACTTTAAAATGAATTGTAAAATTTTAATTCTAGTTTTATAAACAGAAATTATTTCATTTTTGATTCACATCACACATCACATCAACAGCCTTTAATAGTCCACTGCTGGACATAGGCCTCTCCTTTTGGTTTTGGCCTACTACTATTTTTTGATTACTTATTGTTCATTATCTTACTATTTTTATCATTACATTTCGATACACTGAATTTCGTGGAAAGATTACGGTAATAAATTATACACAAGAAAACTGTTGTTGCGCTATAATTAAATTATTTTTACCAGTACTTAACCTGTGTACCTAAATTATTCTTTCTATCTTCTACCATTAAATATGAATTATCAGACAATGAGTAAATCACTATAACCATTATTTTGATCTTAAATAAGTTCTGTCAAAATGTTAAAATCCGAATTTGTAACATAATCTGATAATAAACAGATAACTAACGCTGGGTACAATTTTGTATTTTATAAATTAGGTACAAATTATAATTGCTTTGTACCGTAGCACAAGCTTTGATTATTTCGATGTTAAAGTAATTATAATAATGATGCCTAATTATTTTAGAGCAGGTATTATTATAATTAAACATAAAATAGTAATTGGTCGCCGCTATAATACAAGCTTTCCTTTCACCATTTAGTCCTAACACTTTCTCAATGGAACTTTCTACCAAAGTTTAAAAAACAACTATGATGTCAGGTAAAGTATGATAATCTGATTATATTGATTGTTTAACACTATACGTCATTTGTGAATTATAGGACAATATAACACGGTCATTATTGATGTTTCACAATATCGGGCCCCAATAGGGATCCCTGGGGGACACCGAGCGACGTTCTACTCAATAACATCCTGCTTGACTTTAATAGATTATCGATATCTACACACTATAAGTCAGCGTAGGCAGAAAGGGGTATTCTATAAAATATGTAAGCTAACCCTTCCCAAAATAAAGGATAAGAGGCCAACATGTTAAAGTATTCCCAATGCCAAAGGCCACAGTCATAACAAATTTTGTTGCTGGATTACATCAAAGGCCTCTAACAGATTTATCGCATAGTCCAATGACGCTTAAATATAAAAACGAATTGTCTCTGGGCGTGCTCAGTTTAGGGAAATCAAATGTAAAAAAATACATTATAAAACAAATACTTATGATCAAAATTGGTAGATTACATTTTATTACATCTTGCACAATACAAATAAATCATGTAAAATAATAACTGTACGCGATGAAACATTTTGTAGAATAAGATCTACCTATTTTCTTTAAAAGTGTGTAATTTTTATGTGTAAAATGCGATAGATTCCTCTTTATACCCACAAAAATTGTTTCTCACAAATACCTACCTGTATTTATGATTAAATATGTAACTTAAGTGGTGCTAAACTGTTATTATTTCGTTTTTTTTTTTTAATGTCGGATGGCGACCTATTACTCATTTATATGAAAAACTTTAATCAGGAGCACTTTTAGTAAGATACCTAGATCATTGTACGAATTATGGCGAAGGAATGTTTTTATTCTTAAAATATTAGTTTTAGGTGTAACCTCATACGAAAAAATGAAAATAAAATAAACATTGAAAATACATATATGTTTTCTTTAATTCTATTTTTAACGGTGACGGATTGAGAACACAGAGTGTCTTCACCCCGTGGGTGTCGTAAGAGGTGACTAAGGAAGCAAACTACGCAGGACAACAGCACTGCAGAGAGAAGGAAAACTTGACACAAACCAACCGTCTGGCCAGCGTGGTGTAGTTGGCCAAAACCTCCTTTCTAAGGAGAGGCCAATGTCCAGCAGTGGACTAGTAGAGGCTATTGATGATGATGATGAAACAAAACTCTACAACATGTGTAAACCTGCGCTCACGATATTAATAATTAACCTACCTTTGAATTGCCTGGACCGAAGGTCAATTCTCGTAATAACAGTTCAGTCTCAATTCAGATCAACTTTCGATCTCAAAACTGTCATAAAAGATATTTTCGTAGTGGTAACCTACTTGGCTTTCAATAAAAGCACAATCACATGTGATATACCTTATGATTTATAAATCATATAATCACACCTGTGACTGATTTACAAAACCACTACGACCTAAATATTATATTAGCAAAAAGATTTTTTATTGATTTTAATGGCATTTATCTTTGTCTACGACGAAATCACAATCACATGTGAATAATCATCACAATCAACTGTGACTAAAACCAACTAAAATCATCTGCCTATACTTATCCCAATTTTATTTAGGGTCAGCACAGTAAGTATGATTCTTCCATTCTACTCTATCATGCGTCATCTCGATGTTTACTTCCTTCCTAGCCATATCCTCACTCGCATAGTCCACCCACCTTTTCTTTGGTCTTCCTCTTCTCTTGTACCCTTCAACTCCCACACCTAAAACTTCTTCGCCACATTTTCCTCATCCCTTCGCATGACATGTCCATACCAAGATAACCTTTTACTTCTTAGCTTTTCATCCAGTGATGCGTCTTTCAGACTCCCTCGTCAGTATATACTCATTCCTTACCTTGTCCATCCGAGTCACACCAGACATCCATCTCAGCATTCGCATTTCGGCTACATTCAGGCGTCTCTCATCCGTTCTGTTAATATGCCAACTTTCAGAAAACTGATGATAGTTTTATAAATTTGTCCCTTCAGTGTTAAGGGGAAACTGGGGTCACAAATTGTTCCTGTTACCTGCCGCCACTTCATCTATCCCGTATTGATTTGATGTTGTACAGTTCGATCAATCTCACCATCACATTGTAAGAGGGAGCTGTTATCGCTATCGCATCCAGCGAAATGGTTTCAGGATCAATCCTAAAACGTCCTTCTACGGTCGTAGAGCGTCTACGGTAACTAACTAACTACTATGTAATACGTAGACATTTACGTAGATATCATTGTAGTGATTTAGTTTTCTTATTGTTAAGTAGACTTTGTCTATTAAATATTAACACATTAACTATTAGTGTGTGGTTTTATACCATTCGGGTGCGATGGAATTCTTTGTTAAAGGAACGGTAAGTGTGACAAACAAAAGGTTGCCGGTTTAAAGCCCATTCAATACCT